CTACTCTTTTACCAACGAATAGTGGGATTGACCGTCACATTATAACGCCCCCACGGCTGAAAGGGCGAGCATGTTTGGTGGGATGCGGATTCGAACCCGCGACCCTCAGATTGTGAGTCGAGCGCCTTATCCACCTGGCCATGCCGGGCATTTATTTATGTCGACTGTCGTTACTGTATTTTCCGGAACATGTAAAACTTTTGAGTTGCTTTCCTATTGCACGTTTTGTTTACTGCAAGCTGCAACGGTTATTCTCAAGAAAGAGAATGTATATGGTACACTTCAAAGGGCTTTTTTTTTTTTCTGAGAAGGGAGAATTGGAATTTACATGGACATTGCCTTATGCTTACGTAAGCTAAACTTATGACCAAATCGGAGACCACTTGTGTTCAGATGTAGTCGTTAGGTATCCCTAGCTTTGAACTACTGAGCAGAGGAAAGGTAGAAAGCCAGCAGCATCCACCGCCACAAAGACTTTGTTCGACTCTTTAAACCAAATAACAGGATTACTGAAAGTGTTGATCGTGTTCAGCGACATCACGTCTCAAACCCTGGACACTTCGATCAGAAACCCATCACGCTGACCACTAGGCCTCGCCTAGCCGGAGAATGAAGAACAAGAAAAAAATATTCTAGTTTAGGGCTAATTGAAATAAGGAATAAAGATAATTTGTTCTGATTAAAATTCCCTAAGGCGGAGAAGTTGCAGGTTTTTAAGTTTACAACTGTTTTTGCTTTCGTAATTAATTAATATGACCTTAGTTTTGGCCGATTAAAGTATTCAAAAAAAATAAGAAGAGGACTTTTTATCTATGATTAATTGCGGTCTTACTGATATTTTTCTTTGGTCAAAAACTTGTGTTATTTAACAATAAAGTCATGAACAAGAATCTATTATGAAACATAAAATAATCAATTTCAAATATTTGGATACATTCCTGCGTACATAAACTCTTATTTTCTTACAAAATTATATTTACAAATGAGAAAGAGAAGAAAATGATCAATTTGAAAAAATGTTTTTAAGAAATAATTATATATATATATATATTAAACTGGTTATTGTAATGGTAAAGTTCATTGTACTAATATTTTCCTAATACAAACGTTGGAAGTATTCTGTAGTTAATTTGAAGATGTTGGGTAAGGAAATAAAAAATCAGCTTAATATGTACTTCTTTATACTGAGATCTAGAACTGGTCAATTAGTTAGTGTGTTGGGCTGCGGATCAGGTGATTCAAGGTTCAAACCAACGATATGCTGCAGAACACACTCTACTCTTATGACTGTAGGGGCATTGTGACCATGGCAGTTAATGGCGCTGTTCGGTTAAGAGTAGCTATATAGGGTGCTGCTTAAAAGTTTCCTTTCCTCCGGCCAGTAGTACTAAACTTAGAAAGGCTATGTCTGAATCTAATGGGTTTCTGACCTGGTTGTTTAGCTCAGCGTCACATAAGGTGTCGTCCAGATTTAAGTCAATATTTCAATGCATATATTTAAAAAAATAATTTGTAAATAATATTTGACCCAGTTTTTTTAACAGTCTTCTTTTTTTGAATTGAAACATTGTATTCCATATTGTAAAGAGTGGGTGGTCGTTACGTTGTTTATTATTTTATTTATCATTATAGAAATATTATTTATATTTCTGAATATAAATATGTAAGTATAAAATTATTTTCATCTTTTCAAATTTGTTTTCTCTACTACAATGTGGAATTAGGAAATTATCTAATTATATGTTCTAACCATGATTAATCATTTAATGCTTGTATTCGGAGAATTGGAAATGTAGCTATAAGGTGTGTTTAAAGACTAATAATAAAAGGGATGTCCGCAGGCAACTAGGAGGTAGGTATTGAAGAAGAAACCACAACTAGCACTACATGGCGCTTCTTCTCAAAAAATGGCATCATCATAATAGGACACGAATTGAAATACAACTGTACGTTTGTAATTAAGCACAAAGCTACACAATGGGCTATCTGTGCTCTGCCCACCACGGGTATCGAAACCCGGATTCTAGCGTTATAAGTCCGCAGACATGCCGCTGTGCCACTGGGGAGCACACCTGTACGACTTTAAGACGCAGAAAAAAGAAAAGAAATGTATCTGTAAGTGCAAGACACTGGAACAAAAGACACGTAATCTTGGCAAGTGACGATCCATATGTAGAAGTTTAAGGTTAGTTGCGATCCATTAAACCAAATTAAATAATCCAAAGTACAAACAAAACTGTTAACCCGTAAAACGATTAAGCCCTAGCATGGCCTGATGGTTAAGGCCCTTGACTCGCAATCTGCGGGTCGCGAGTTCAAGTCTCGTCTCTGAACATGCTTGCTCTTTCAGTAGTGGGGACGTTATTAAGTTGATGGTGGGTGGTGTTGATTAGCTGCCTTCCCCGAGGTCCATCATTTCTAAATTAGGAATGGATAGAGTAGATAGACCTCTAGTAGCTTTACGCGAAATTCAACAAATAAACAAATTAAAAAGATGAAGAGCTTTTGTCATACAACATTCCAGTAGGTTTCCTTAAGGTTTCCTAGGTGGTAAGCAAGATGTAGAAAAAATATAATTCTATTATAGAAGTACATAAAGTTTTTAACTTACGGGGAAGAAAAAGTAGAGAAATCCAGAATAACATCGAAACATAATCTAACCATCGCTTTACTATACTAAAAACTTCTAAAGCACTTTATATAATAAATTACGTACTTTAACAATTCTCATTACAATAACGATAACGAACACGTTGCAGTGACTTATTCAGAAACGCATGAACATGGCTTATATAACTATATGTACAATGAACATAACCATGAATGTGTAAGTTGTCTTCTGCGTGGTCGAATTGTTCTACACACCAAGTTTCACAGCATTGTTTCTATTGGTTTCCTGAATACTGTCGACTAAACAGCGGAAGTGACGTACGAAACACCTAGTATTATAATCTCATTGTTCTTATCCAACTATTGAAAATCAAGATTATTTTATTGTTTTCGAGTATCCGATATTTTTCTTCACTGTTCTTAATGTAGACCGGCTATAGCCTAATGAATAGCATAATCAGACTATGATTCCGAAGATACAGGTTTGTAACTTGCAAAAAAAAGCAAAAACACGCTCCAGACTTTTGGGCCATGGTTGTGCATTAATAATGATGTCAAAATCCCACTTTTCGATCAGACTATCTGCCCCTCCCCCCTCTAGTCTATCAGTCCAAAATTATGAACGGGTATGTACAGATAGCCTTTATGCAGCTTTACGTGAAAATTGTGAAAGGAACGAAAACAACACTTTATGCTGTTGGCAAGTGTAAGCAAAAAATTTAGTTATCAGATATCGATTCTGAGCTAAAATATCCCGCCTTAGACTTTTCTTGAGCTGTTTTGTATTAAAAAAATAATATCTGAGCAAACTGCATTTTTAAAGAAATATTCTTCTTTTTTTCTAAAACTTTATGATTGCCAATAAAAGTTAGATGGCACAAGACATAACTCAAAATTTTGAGTAATCGAAAACCAATCTTGATTTTTAGTTAAATTAGATTACTATGAAATATCAAGATAGTGGCTGAATAACTATAGTTGTTATATCTTTATTAATATATGAAAACATTGAATCTATAATGATGCTATTTCTGCCAATAACTAGCTTTCTTTATCACCACCATGTGCATCAAAGTCCTTTTATGTAAAGTATAAACTATGGCAACTTGTTTAAATTGCAAAAACAAGAAAATGCTGATTTTTATAGTAAGCGGAAACAGGTTTTCTTCACTGTGTTTATATATCGTATACTAAAGTACTCAACGACCGCTTCCCGGTGGCTCAGCCTTAAGTATGAGAACTTATAATGCTCAAAATCGGATTTCGATACCTGCGGTGGGTAGAACACAGAAAACCCATTGTGTAGCTTTATGCTTAACTATAAACAAACAAAACACTCAGGAATACGTTCTGAACTGTTGATTACAAAAAATAATGAAACCTTCAACGACTATGTTCTGAACTGTTGATAACAAGGAGATACTGAAACTCTCAGCGACTACGTTCTGAACTGTTGACAACAAGGAGATACTGAAACCTTCAACGACTACGTTCTGAACTGTTGATAACAAGGAGATACTGAAACCTTCAACGACTACGTTCTGAACTGTTGATAACAAGGAGATACTGAAACTCTCAGCGACTACGTTCTGAACTGTTGATAACAAGGAGATACTGAAACCTTCAACGACTACGTTCTGAACTGTTGATAACAAGGAGATACTGAAACTCTCAGCGACTACGTTCTGAACTGTTGATAACAAGGAGATACTGAAACTTCAGTGACTAAAATATACTGAAACACTCAAAGTCTACGTTTTGATTTATTTATTTTGCGAATTTAAAAGCAGTGTTTGTCGTTTGTTTGTAAAATCTGATAAGCATTTATTGTTTTAAAATAATTTAGTGCACTTATCCAGTTTCTTGTAGACGTTTTTACGTCTGCATGCGAAAAAAGCACAATTAATTTTAACCTTTTTTTTGTAGTTTATCAAAATAATTTGTTTACATTGTTTATCTGTTTGGCAGTACATTTTCTCCAATATACTAAATCCCCCAAAAAAGTATCAGAAAGACTTCTCTACGATAAAGTTGTATAAAAATAAGCGTAATGACACTTCAAAATATCATCCCATGTAAACGCAATGAAGTAATATTTCATGATTGTACAAAATACATGTCGTGCATAAACGACACACACACATACATGTATATATATATATATATATATACGTATATTACTGAAAGAAACTTTAAAGATCTTAAACACATAGTAAGTGTATGTGGATAACTATAATTGACTGGGTTGTAATTGCTACTCTTATTCAGAGCTTATTTTGCTTTAGCAAGTATTTGCATTTCCATTCGATTTTTTTATTTACAAATAGCAGGTCTGCTTTAGCAAACATAAAACATTTAATTTATTGTTTTGTGGGAATAGATCGTCATGCTATCTTCAGGAAATAATGCACGAGACTCTAAAATGGAGTTTGTCTTTATCTTCGTCCAAAAGATGAAAAGCAACATACCGCGTGATGTAATGCTGTATACCCATCTCTAATTTTGTTAATGTGTTGTTAACACAGAGCTACGCGCTGGGCTATCTGTGTTATGCCCATCCCGGATATCTAAACCCACAGTATCTAATTTTGAACAATATGCGTACACAATATTCTAAACACAGGCCTTGTGTAGAACGATGTGATGACAATGTTTGAAAAATCTGGTGGTTCCTAAAACGATTTTTTTCTTTTTCAATTTCAAACTGTAATAATTATAAATAAAAGCTGTATTAAATTAATATTATGTTTTATTTTTTATAATTACTGAAAAAATATCAAGGACGTGAGTATTATAAACACTCCTCCTCCACCACCGTTTTTGTCCTTTTTTTGTTTTTCTAGGACCTGCTGATTTAATATGTAACCGTTCAAGTGTGTGATATATATAAATATATATACGAGATATTGGAAATATTCAGGGAAAAAGTGAATAATATGCTAACACCATGAGATTTATCTCACCCTATTTTATTAAAATACGCCGCACCACAGTAGAGTCACGTTTTTATAGTTAATGATTAGCTTTCGTCTAACCAATCAGACATTGCCACATCAACATGTCTATAAAAGTGCAGGCAATCATACTACTCCCGACAATAGTGTGCTAAGAGACGGAAATTGGCATCGATCTTTAAAGAATAGAATGAACAAAGCTAGAAAAAAGCGCTCTTTATAAATTAATCCAAATTTAAATTGTTTGATAATAATCAACAATATTCTCTTAGGCGGCGGAAAGGATAGCAGTATCTTGATCAACTTTCAATGAAACAATGCTGAGGATTAAATAAAAGAGTGGATTATATCTCAGCCAATGGTGTTGGAGATCTACATATAATTGATGGCACCCTGACTGCTGACAGATACAATAATATTATTACCCATCATACCATTCCCTCAGGAACGAGATCTGTTAGACAGAAATTCATCTTCCATTAATAAAGTGATCCCTAACATGCAGCAAATACGGTGATATGATACCTGGAAAAAAAAAAAGAAACCGGTGAAACATTCACTCAATGTCCCGGTACAGATATTATTAAGGCTTATAAAAACATTGAGAAGGTTAACTAGCAAATAAACAATTTGGCTCAAATTTGGAAAGTAATACTGGTCATTTGGAATACTTTTTCACAACTACACACTGATAAACATAACAAATTGTGTATTTCTCTCTTTAAATCCAATACAAAATATTAGTCCATTGTCTAACCTATTCACCTTTCTTTAGCATTTCTTCCAATAATGTACTAATGATAAAATGACCACTTGATTTCATTTGGTCCAATCACACATTTCCAATATTCAAGTAATTTGTTTTTCCTGGTAAGAACAATAAATACAGAAATGAACAACTGTGCCATTTTCTTTGTTTATTTTCAGAAATTATTTTTATACATAATAATTTGCAAATAAACGTAATGATTTGGGGTTTATGGAGCTTCAATATTGTGTGTTTACAGTGTAGACGTTCTCCTTCATCCTTGATGCATATATGTACGAAAACAAAATATTCAGTTACCTCAGTAATGTTTTAACTGCATTCAATCGAACGCAAATATACTTGTAAGAAGAGGGTAGGAACCAAGTGGTTAAGTCACTCCTTCTACAGCCCTGACTTCTTGTTCGAAGAACATAAAATTCAAATGAAAAATGTGCTATAAAATATGTACCTTTCTGTCCGAATTTCTAAGAAAGAATTATAGTACCATAGTTTCTTTAGAGGAAGATTAATAAATTCTGAAAAGGGTTAGGAAGAAGGAGGAGGGTTTCGTTCTAACTTTTTTAGACTTAATTCTTCTTCGGTATATATTTGGGGGAAAAAAAGGGACTTGTTAGAAGGAAGGGATATTTATTTATTTTTTGCATTTTTTCAGATCAACCCTTCTTTGGTTTACTAAAATATTCGGGAAAAGCCTAATAATAAGACTTCCTGTGTATTGAATTCGACTTTAAGCAACTATTTCTTATTTGGTTTATCAAGTTTAATTGCTTCTAGACACTGTCAAGACGTAGTAAGTCTATAGTTGGATCAAGAAAAAACGCTTGTGAAGGAAGGCTTCCATTTCGGACGTGAGTGTGAATGTCTTCCCATTCTGTAAATCTTCCTGGTGTACTTGAACGTTTGATGTAATCAACACTGGAGGTGTTGCTATATCTGTTGGTATCAGATAAAGTATGTAGACCACCATCACTCAGTTTCAGAGCTCTAAGAGGACCAAAAATATTACGACACGGAATTTGTCGATATTCGAGATGAAAACCTCGGTCACTGGAGAAATCGTCGCTCTCAAATTTTAACTGGACTTCTGGAAGAGGACCGTCCCTGAAGTCCACTTCACCTAATAATGAGTATCACCAAGGTTGAAATGATAAAGAACTAAACTTTGTTCTGATTCTATACACATAAGTTACAATGTACAACCCTCTCTGTACCGAAATGTTCATTAGTAATTCATGAATATGTCAAATATTTTATTTTGACATTATATTAATAAATATCTAGATCCTGGATATACACTGCTTGTTTTCAAAATACACCAAAATAAATTGAAAATTTAAATACTACTGACTTAATATTCTCACACTGTGAAACTGAGTCGAAGTTTTGTAAGCATGAATTATGTATGTGACTTGAGTCGTGGCACGTGATTTATGCCCAACAGGATATACGGCAAATGTTAGGGTGAGACTGAATTTCATGATTTACAGAAATTATATAAATTTGTGGTTTAATCTGTTGATAGAGCCATAGATATTTACAAAATGTTACGTGGTATGTTTGTAACTGTAAATAAACTACACAGAATCTAGGTAAAAATTGAGATTAGCACCTCAAATATGTCACGTGCAAACGAAGACTAAAATTTGTTAAAAAATAAACAGATTTATATTGAACCACCTATTTTATCAAACTTACGTGTTTGCTTTCTCAATTGTGTGCCACAGAAACGTCTGTTTTCAAGTTTGAAGAAGTCCTTTTGACAACCAGTTGAAAACTCTACTTCGAACTCATGGAAGAAAATTTCCACCCCACAAAATCCTTTAACTGGTTGAATTCGGTAAGAACAACGTACGCCATTCTTGTAAGGTTCAGGAAAACCAGGACTTGTGAAATGTCCTCTTTCTTGTCGCTGACAGTAGGTGCAGAGTGCTGGTGGGGGCGTAGCTAGGTAAAAAGAGTTCAATACTTACAACAATAATAAAAACAAAATATTTGTACATTGTTCTGATTTTTTTAATCTTTTTTCCTGATGATAATTTTCAAATATAGAGTTTAGCATAAGACATACATTTGTAATAACTATATATTATTTTCTTTATATTCATTTCAAATATTTCACGTCACCATCATAGCTGTTGGAATAGTGGGGCCAGGTTCCTCATCTCCAGTAAGTGGGAGTTAGTACGCACCTCGAACCCCAATAAATTCCGATAGATTTAAGATTTTCACAACTTGAATTGAGTTGTTTTGCTCCAAAAGAATAACTCACTATAAACAGATAAATAACCTAAACTTAATATAGTAGTTGGAGATAAAAAAATGGTTGTAAAGATATGATAAAGAGATTCAGATTTAAAAAAACTAAGGTAATGTAAGTTTGTCATTAAACTGCTTATGTTCACATTAATTTATCGTGTATTTATTTTTTTCTGGTTCCCAGTGTACCAAAATATGCTTAGGTTTCCATTCTAATTGTAAAAATTTTCTGGGAGAGCATACCCCTGTTTTTCACTTGTCTTCGGCAGGCGAACTTTAACCAACTTGACTCGATTCATTTCCAACTTCGATCCCACGCTTCCGACACTTATACCATTTTTAACTTCTTTCTCTCATTGAGGGTGTAAGTACTTTTTCATCAAATTATGAGTTCAATGACAAATATTTGTTTGTAAAATTCAAACTAAACAGAAACCTTCTGTTTTTGATATAGTTTTTTAACAGAGGAAAAAAAGAAAGATTTCTAGTATATCTTGAAACCACATTCACGCAAAATAAAATGTCAGCTGACTGCTTTTCAAACTGCAGGTTTTCATTTGAAAATAAAAATATACAAGACAATGTTTGTCCACTTTAAAGTTAAGATAAACTGGCTAAAAAAAAAGGAACAATCTATCTATAAGTACAAATTTAGTTTCTAGTGACAGAAAAGAAATGCAAGTTCTGAGAACAAAATTATCACGAGTTTGTCCTGTAATAATGATATTTTTAAGTATAAAGCTGCAAAATGAGCTATTGAAGTTGTACCCACTGTGGAGATCGAGACCAAAATTTTAGCAATATAAGTTCTCAAGCTTATCGCTGAACCACCAAATGAAGGTAATAATATTAGTTAGAATATTATTATATCAAAGAAAAAGAAGCAAAATTTTGAAATAATTTAGAATACTAATTTTACATAACTATCAAACCTGTGACTTATTTAGAAACTAGCTGGAGTACCCGTCCCATGGACGGTAGTTATGTAAATTCATGATTAATGAAAGGTTATCTTAGGACATGAAAGGTTTCTTCCATTATATGTAATTGTAAAAAAAAAGAAAAAAAAGCGCCCATAAACACTGCAAGACACAAAACGTGAAACCGCAAATTTGCATGTATCTCCGCATGGACCAAATAAACCTTCATGCCAAATGTGGTGAAGATCCATCAACAGGGGGCGAAGTAGTGGTAAAAAAGCAAAAACACCAGTAAAAAACGCAAAATAAAAAACTGAAAATTTGTTTGACCCCCGCTTGGACCTAATTAACCTCCATACCAATTTTGGTGAAGATCCATCTATACCCGTGAAGTAGTTACATGGACAAACAACAGGCAGTAGTATTATATTTATATGGATATGTAAAGTCTATTTCTGTTCTTGTCTATAGATGATTTTTGTTTGTTTTTAAGCACAAATCGACACAACGGACTATCTGTACTGTGCCAATTGTCAATATTAGACCACGAATTTAAGCGTTATAAGCCTGGTATGGCCTGATGATCTGGGCGCTTTACTGGCAATTGTCAAAGTGCAATAATTATATATAACTGAAACGGAAACAACTGTCAAACTAATTTACGTGACCTACCTGGTCGCCATGTTGGTCTTAGTCTGTGAGTCTGACATTGGGTTACTTGTTGAACACGAACTGAAAACCCTGGCCGATTAGTCGCTTTATCAGAGTGAAACAGCAACTGTACAAAATTTTTTTCCTGAAACGGAATAATTTCTGGAGAGAAAAAAAAAGAAAAGCGTATTATATTGTACAAATAAGTTTTCGACATCCCTACATATCTAGTAGCAAGCTTTTCTAACTGACAATATGAAATATGTAAAAGATACCCAAAAATATTCGGTGATCAAAAAAAGTAAAAAATAAGACCATTAAGTTTAACTCTAATATTACTTTTGTACTGCTTATCAAACATTACTTATATATATTTCGTACATCTTGCAGCTTACGTCAGACAACATTATCTTTTAAATTTACTACATTTGTTTCAAGATCAAAATATTGACGTTATTACAGATAATACTGAAAAGTAAAGTATTAATTAAAGTTGAAGTAATATTGAAATACAACATTATACCACTATGTGCTGAACATGAAAAATAAACATTTGGTGGGATTAGTGACCACAGAAAATAAAATGTTGTGTCATGCAAGTTGCTATTTTTTATTTGAACTATATTTTTTATAAATCATTTTCAACTTTCTAACACAGTTCAGTCTATTAATCCTGGAATTACCAATCTGGTCCATATCACATCAGATTTTTAAAAACATCTTTCTAAACTATTTAAGCTCCAAATTCCTCGTATATCCCTGACGTTGTTGGTTATTGAGCCTCTAATAACATATGAGTAACATAAAATGATTTTCAGACAAAAATACCGCCAAAATTACAGTTAATCCCACTAATACTGATGGTGTTTCCTAGGCCTTTTACATAGAAAATGGGTGATTTCACCCAATTTGTTTGGTCAGCTCTTTACACAGGCAACACCATAACCTTTCCCAATATATATAAAACCCTACCGGTAAAGAACGGTGGAACTTTGGTTGTCGATGTTGACAACTTACTGAAAGAATTGCTGGGTATCTGACCGCAAAGTCGTTGATCGTTAATGTCGAGATAATCGTATTCACAGTTTCGGCTTTCTTCAAGATCAAAACTGTGAACTGTTACATCAAGAGCGCAAACTTCAGGTTTGTATTGGTGGATTAGGTAACGGCACGTGACGTCGTTAGGATAGTTCTGGGGATAATTTGGGCTTCTTAAGACGAAATCTTCGGAATAAAATTCTTCATCACATCGTTCACGAAGTCCAGCTGGAAAACATCATGTTCTGGCATTATTTATTTTTATTGCCTTACGTAATTAATCAAAGAAAGTTATTTGACCAAAATACTGACCACATTTTTGTTCCTGACAGCTTTGGATTGGCTTTTGTTAAGCGTAAAACTACGCAATGGGTTATTTATGCTCTATGCTAAGAGTATCGAAGTTTGACATGTTTTGCCTTCGTGTGTTTATTTTTCGAGTAACTTTAAAGCATATACTTATCTTTATGCATTATAACATTATGATGAAACATTAAATAAAAAAATCTAACAGTATTTTAAGAGCCTCTTTCTTCGGTAATCTAGTATGAGCTTCCATTAAGATCGATATCTAAAAACATTTCAACACTCTTCTACATTTTATAGGAAGCTAATGACAAGGCTTTTCGTACAGTACGAGGGTTTGTCCAGGGAATGAGATACAAAATACTATCAACCTTAGTGCGATGTATAGTAATATTTGCTACTTTGAAATTGTTTTTTTTGTTTGTTTTTTTTTTTAATTTCGCGCAAAACTACACGAGGGCTATCTGCGTTAGCCGTTCCTAATTTAGCAGTGTAAGACTAGAAGAAAGGCAGCTAGTCATCACCACCCACCGCCAACTCTTGGGCTACTCTTTTACCAACGAATAGTGGGATTGACCGTCACATTATAACGCTGAAAGGGCGAGCATGTTTGGTGTGACGGGAATTCGAACCCGCTACCCTCCGATTGCGAGTCGAGCGCCCTAACCACCTGGCCATGCCGGGCCCTATTTTGAAATACAAATTTAATTCCGTCATTGTTTCGTGTATACCATTCTCTAACAATAACATATTTCTTTCTATAACTTCTGTTTAACTCAGTCGTTGTTTCGTGTATACCATTCTCTAACAATAACATATTTCTTTCTATAACTTCTGCTTAACTCAGTCGTTGTTTCGTGTATACCATTCTCTAACGATAACATATTTCTTTCTATAACTTCTGCTTAACTCAGTCGTTGTTTCGTGTATATCATCCCCTAACGATAACTTACTGTTCTCCGTAACCTGCTATCCATTTTATCCGCAGTATCACATAAAAAATCTTCCTTACTTTGCCAATTCATATAAGATACTTTTAAATGTCTATTTTAATGCGTTTAAAGTCATTGTTTTCTCACACTTTATATGTAAAATATTTCAAGTATTCTTCGCATCTCATGCTGAATGTGTTTACAAAAAATAACCCAATATGTTGAATTGGGTTTATACGTATTTTATAGCGAATCAAATAACATGCGATATTTCTTATGTTACCCATACTTACGAAGTTCAAATGGTGGGCGTGAACTTGGGCCAGCAGAATGTCCTGGGCAAACTACTTGCCGTCCCTTGATTATAAAGCCTTGTCCTCGAACTCTTTCATCAGATCGAAAGTAAATGTGCTTCTCAGATGATGATAACTTATAGTTACCTTCATAGAAATATTCATTACGTTAATATTTGTATAGAAGTACTGTTATAGACATTTTCAGAACCGCTAGCGCTAACAAGTAGGGTTAGTTTTCTTTAGAAATCTCGATACCTTTCAGTAATTTGCGTCTGTTTTCATCTTATACCATTGTAGAAACGTTTACAACCTGTCATTTGATATTAACAATAATCCGAACATACGATACAAGATTATTTTTTCCAGTAAAAAATAACTTAGAAAGTCAATAACAAAATCTAAATATAATTCTAGATAATTAAAATAAAGAGTAAATTTGTCATTTACAACAATGAGTGGTTCTTAAGAAGAGAAATAATTCAAAACCAGTTCGTGTTTGGTTCATCTCAAAGGTTCTGATGTTATTTTGTATTAATCATGTATCTGATGAAAAGTGTCATGTTTTCATAAACAGATATATGAACGCACGACTAGGTTGAATTTTTCTCTTTCGATAGATAGAGGGACGTGGCTGTACTGATTAACCCCCCGCTAACTTCATTTGACCCAATACCACATTAAGTCACATGTTAATTGGAAAACGAACGTTTGAAATCTCGATGGCTCAGATTCTTGCATTCTGCACCAACCACATTACATAAAACAGACTTAAATCCACGTCTGCACCAATCACATTACATTTAACATACTTAAGTCCAGTGAATATGGTGAATCGAAGCACAAAGGTGGAGAAGAGATGGGTACTTTTGTTAATGTTTAAAGTTTTAGAAAAGGAATGAATTTACAAATAATGATAAAAAGGAACATACTTTACTATGTTGGTTAATTTCTTCTCTAAATGTGTTCAAAGATTTATTTTATTAATAACGTTTCTTACAAATACAAAGCCGGTAGTTATTTTTAAACTCCCAATGATTGCATAAGGCAATAAGAAGAGGATATTTCTCCAAATATTTCCCTCCCCCATGGTTTTTAAAATAATGAGAGTTACTTTACCCATGAAGTTACGAATATGCGGCTAAACATATGCTGGACGCAAGGAGGTCAACAGTTCGACCGAGGTTGTGTTTTTCAACTGTAAAATATTGTGGTGAGTATTATGGAACGTATAGTTGTGAGATTTAAACGTGTCTGAATCACTGAATCTTACATGGACACATTACAAGAACCACGATAAAGCTTTTATGGCCAGCAGGAAAGTATTGTGTTCCAGTAGAATAATGCATCCTGCCATAAAGCACGTGCGACTAATATGCCTAGTTTTAAGTCAACATTATAAACACCTTTGAATGCCCTTTTAGAGCCCAAGTCTTAACCTCATACAACATCTTTAGGACCATTTGAAGGTTGACTATAAATAAGTTAAACAATAGCCTCCCATCATTAACCGAATGGCCGAGAGAGATTGTTTCAGACTCCTGTAGCAGTTATGGAAACTAAGGGCAGTATCATACCATATTAGAACACTGATTGCTATTCCCTCCCCCCCCTAAATGACCACATGTACGATGGATTTTGAGAACGAACAGTCAAATATAAAAAAAAGGTACTTACGTGTAGTATTTCGTGGTAAGTGTCCGCAAAGTTTCTCATTGTCAACAGACAAATAATCAAACTGACAGTTTGTACTGGGTTCCAAGTCGAACCGAACCAAAACGAGTTCTAATCGACACACACTTTCATTGAAACGCTTGATGCTGTAGCGACAGTTTAAGCCGTTCGGGTAAAGATCGGGATAATTAACGCTATACAATTCAAAAAAGGGACGAGTAACAACTTTGTTACAGTTTATTGTTGAAATGGGTGGAGTAATAGGTTGGGGAAGTGTGGGTGCTATTGTAGGTAACGGTTGGATATGGGTCTGAGAGGTTGAAAGATGAGGGTCCGACTGCTCTGGAGAACTTCGATGACAGTCTACCTGCTGAACGTGTATTTTAAATCCTGGTCTGGTGTTAGCTGGATCAGAGTGAAAGCGTATCACAAATTCAAAGTTCTGAAAGTCGTATTCTCCTGAAAGAAAAAAGCGTTTAGAAAAATGCAAAATACTAAACAAATTAATCAAAAACTTCACAAAGAGATTTGGTTATTGGTCCAATTCAAAAACCTCTGGAAAAAGAAAATTTCGAGAAAAACTACATTATTGTTTGTTTGGTTTAGAGCAAAGCCACAGGAAATCGAACCCCAGATTTTAGAGTTGTAAGTCCGTAAACTTACTTCTGTCCCACCGAGGGACGAATACATTCTAACAAGAACAAATTTTCTAAAACAAAATAATTAATTTGTCTTACGCAGTGATAATTTATTTGGAAAACAATAAATTAATCGTATAATAAATTACACAGTGGTTGGACTTGAATAAATTTGAATAGTTTTAATAGTTTAGATTAGATAGAACATAAATATATTTGTGATCAGTGTAAGTTTATAATATGCTAATAATACAAAAATGTGAATAGTTTATTCAATCTCTTGTTTGTTTGTAATTAAGCACAAAGCTACACTATGGGCTATCTGTGCTCTGCCCATCACGGGAATAGCAACCCGGATTCTAGCGTTGTAAGTCCGCAGACATATCACTGTGCCACTGGGTGGCTATTCAATCTCTCTATTTAATTTTTTTCGTTCCCCGATGGGATAGCGGGTATGTCTAAGGATTTACAACTCTAAAATCCGGGTTTGATCCCCGTGGTGGACACAGCAGATAGCCTAATATGGCCTTGCTTTAAAAGAAACAAATTTTCTTTTTAATATAGTGTAAAACAATGTTTTAACATCATCCTGTAAATATTGTAAATTCCATAAACTTGCACACATTGTTTAAGCACAATTTCAAACTGATTAAGAAGACGAAAATTACAAATAATTATCAAATCTAAACTTGTGGAAGCTTGGTGTTATTAAAGTTAAGCAGAGTGACGTAACACGAAAGGCAGTTATACAGAACTCACTGACAGAATTTCTTGGCAGAATCCCACATAATGGTTCATCCTCTATCTTGAGGTAGTCATACTGACAGCCGTTGCTTGTCTCAACATCAAATGATTCGAATGTCATCCGAAGTTTACATATCTGATTGTTTATCCGGAGGATAGTGTAGAGGCAGTCAAGATTGTTTCCGTAATGATTGGAATAATTCGGGCTTGTAAGTTCAAAGCTCGAAGAGGTATACAAGCGTTCACAGGAGTTTCCCGGGTCAAGCGTAACAAGTGGTGTTATAGGGGGCCGAGTGGTAAAAGCTAAAACAGATGATGTTGGTTTATAGTTCCTAGGTCTTATCAAATAAAAAAACCGAATTATAGCAAGAAATATACACATGAAAAACTTCACCAATCCTTAGGCTGTAGTTAGTTAATTACATACCTAACTACTATCGCAAATGTACGCATTACTTGGGATCACTGAAATAACTAATATCACAACTGTAAGTATGAGATCAGGTAAGTCGGGATCACTAGAATGACTACTAGAGCAACTGTAAGTATAACTCGAGATTACTAGAATAAACTAACATGTCAAATTGAATAGATATTAGACGTAATGAATACAAACATATTTATAATCATTCGAACACGTGTAACAAGTTTAACCTATCAGAAACATTCAAAGTTATAAACCATAAAAATTATCCCGCTATTAGAAAAATGAACGAAGCTATTCTAATAATATCTCTTAAGCCTACCATTAATAACCACATAGACACACCCCTATATCTTTACAAAATGGATCTGACTTAAATGTCTGACGTCAATATATGGGAGCAATAACCTAATTGCTGGCTAAACAAACCCTCCCTAATTTACCATTTTTAGGTTTGAATTATTTTTTTGGTGTTTGTAACATTTGATAATGTTGAATATTTCGGAGTAACATTTTGTGTAGTCTTTCATGTTTTTCTTTTCAGTATAAACTCCATATTATACGACATTTGAAATCGTACTCATACTATTACATCTGCTCTGAAGGGAGTCACTTTTACATTTTGTTTCCAAATATTTGACTTGTTAACAAAGTGGATACAAAATGTAATATTAAGAGTCACCTTGTAATTTGTTTTCCGTTAATTATGTATTTGTAAATTATACTTTTGTTTGCCAAATATTCTGTCTGCACCTGTACATGATATAATCTCGTCGAAACGTTGTACATTTGTAATCAAGTTTCTTTTACTACCCATTCAAGCCATCTCCAGACTTTTAATATTCTATTTGTTAACAAAGTAGGTACAAAATGTAATATTAAGAGTCATCTTGTAATTTGTTTCCCGTTAATCATGTATTTGTATAAAGTTTTTTCATCTTGTAAAACAATAAATCGAATTCTTTAAAGTAGAATCTTCTTTACTAACGGTTAAAATAAGATTTTCGACCACTGGGTCCCAGCTTCAAGCGTTACTGGCTTTTCAATAAGACGAGCGTTACCAGAATAATATATGTCAAGGATAAGTAATATTGATTATTATATGATTATTCGACGGTATTAAAACATAGAAAAAATATTAATCCAATCATTATCAAAAATAATTTCAGAAAAGAAAAAAAAACTTTTTATCGCAGATCAAACTCACGTTGGTCGGTGGAACAAAGAACCTGGCGGAAAGAAGCTTTAAATCCACGATCTGTGAATCGCTGGTCCGTAACAAATTGTACAAACGCTTCACGCTGCTCAGCGTTAATTCTTAATGTACCTAAAAAAAAATATATGAAGCACTGTCACGAGAAAAAAAAAATTATTTTATGAGCACTTGATTGGCCCACCTTGTGCTAACTCTCCAATAAAATAATATGTTCACTATCATAGTATGTTGTAGAAAAAAGTTATTAATAATGGTATAAAAATCCAACAAGAACGATTGATGTTAAAAAAAAAAAGAGAGAAGGGACAGATTGGTGTAAAGATATACATAAAGATACACAAGTTAAGTTACACACACTTAGAGAACGTAACAATAATAACATTACTGTGTGTGTCCCCGAATAATTGTTAGAGAACATAACAATAATAACACTACTGTGTGTGTCCCTGAATCATTGTTAGAGAACATAACAATAATAACACTACTGTGTGTGTCCCTGAATCATTGTTAGAGAACTTAACAATAATAACACTACTGTGTGTATCCCCGAATCATTGTTAGAGAACTTAACAATAATAACACTACTGTGTGTATCCCCGAATCATTGTCAGAGAACTTAACAATAATAACACTACTGTGCATGTCCCCGAATCGTTGTTAGAGAACATAACAATAATAACACTAATGTATGCGTTCTACCAGAATAATTGGCAGGAAATATTTTTACAAAAATGTCATTAATATTATGATGTATTTGAAAATATAATGAAAATGCTTTGTTTGCTTTAGATTTTCGTTCAAAGCAACACAAGGGTTATCTACACGTAGCCGTTCCTAATTTTGAAATGAAGAAATACAGGGAAGGCAACTAGCTATCAACACCCACCGTCAACACTTTGAATACTCATGTCTGTTTCACATAACAGTGGCATTTAATCATTATCAATAAGGTGTGTGAATGGCCCTACAGTGCAGAGCACGATTTTGCGGGAGCGAAACATGAACCATTCTCTCGGTCGCTAATCACTAAACCACTTTTAAACCAATCTAAATGCACGTGTTATTTGAGTTGTCATTTCTATAACAACACTCACCTGTAACCTCTTATAAAAATGTTGATGCTTTGTTGTGCCATCAAATGAATGGCTTCGTTTGCAATAACACAAAACGTATTTTATATTCAGCAATATTTAATCACTGTGTGGGAAAATATACTCATTAATAATGTGTATGATGTTTTCAGTATTTATATATGCAAATTTCGAGAACTAACTAATAATAAAACATACGGGTGTCTCCTTTTAGTTGTTTTCCGCAATAACGAACACCGTTTATTTCGAGATAATCCTGTACACAACGACCTCTGGAAGGCTCGAGTTGAAAGTCAGAGAAACTGAGTACCACATTGCAGTACCCTGGCTGCGGCTTGAAGCGATACGTACAAACAAGGTTGTCATGGTAATTTCCAGGATATCCTTTACTCTGTATGACACCGTTAAGAGCATCATATGTCTCATCACAAGACTCTGGAACAGAAAAATAAAACAATTATACCCTTAAAATTGTTTAATATGTTTGTACCAAATACTAGATTGGAAACAGAATCTTGAAAATGATGGTTAGCGTTTTAGTATTGATATTTTAAGAAAACACGTCGAAAATGAATATATTTACCGAACTTAAAAAGTCGTATGTTTTGTAATATATCATTTTTACCGCTCATTGCTCATTCGTTTTTTAGCTAACACAAAAGGTCTAATATCTACGTAACATTACGCATGTAATAATATCGTGTTTCAAGAGTGTTTAATGTAACTTTATTTTGTGTTTCTCTTTCGGGGAGTATCTTGCTTTCTTCCCTTCACACTTCATTGGAAAACGTGTGAATGAACACAGATGTACAAACACAGTCATATAGAAAACTGTCAGTCCCCATAACATCTAGTCACACCTACAGACCAATCAGAGAGAGGTGTCAGCCCTTATAGCTTCTAGTCACACCTATAGACCAATCAGAGAGAGTTGTCAGCCCTTATAGCTTCTAGTCACACCTACAGACCAATCAGAGAGAGTTGTCAGCCCTTATAGCATCTAGTCACACCTATAGACCAATCAGAGAGAGTTGTCAGCCCTTATAGCTTCTAGTCACACCTATAGACCAATCAGAGAGAGTTGTCAGCCCTTATAGCTTCTAGTCACACCTACAGACCAATCAGAGAGAGGTGTCAGCCCTTATAGCTTCTAGTCACACCTATAGACCAATCAGAGAGTTGTCAGCCCTTATAGCTTCTAGTCACACCTATAGACCAATCAGAGATAGTTGTCAGTCCTTATAGCTTCTAGTCACACCTATAGACCAATCAGAGAGAGTTGTCAGCCCTTATAGCATCTAGTCACACCTATAGACCAATCAGAGATAGTTGTCAGCCCTTATAGCTTCTAGTCACACCTATAGACCAATCAGAGATAGTTGTCAGCCCTTATAGCTTCTAGTCACACCTATAGACCAATCAGAGAGAGTTGTCAGCCCTTATAGCTTCTAGAAGAACAAGGAATATCCAAATCACTTGATCCTTCAGAAGTAAAGCAAGTAAAGTATGGAGTAATTTTTAACTTACCACTATCTTCTGGGGGAAAGAGTTTAGAAGAACAGGGAATCTGTTTAGCTCTGATATGAAAACCGGGTCGTGAGGTGGCTGAATCTGAGTGGAATTCAATTACGATCTCTGACGTTTTGAAATCCAAGGTTCCTGAGGAAATATATATATGTACACACAAATATATATACAATTTACAAATTCTTATTAAGTTATACTTTAAGCAAGAGAAATAAGTAAACAAGTATATTTCATTATCTTAAACCACCATGAACTCGGGCAAATTATAATACTTTTTGCTAATTTAAAATTTCAGTTGTATTACTTTATAGTGTCGATGTACATATAACCAAGAGCTTATAAACAAATATTCACTATCAAGAGTATTAAATACATAGTTAAACATATTATACATGTCTTTACGCAGTAATTTTTGACTTTAAATAAAGCAAATGCAATACATTTAAAAATTACAAAGTTAGAAAAATTGTTGGTTAGTTATTTTAGAATTGAACCGCATTGGGTTATCTGCTGTGTCTATCGCCGAGAATCAAACCCCGGATTTTAGCGTTGTAAGTCCTTAAGCTTACCGCTGCCCCACCGGGGACTCAAGCAAAGAGAGAAACGTATTTAGTCTTCTATCAAAATTCCTCCTGAAATCCTGCAGGTGAAAATTTACTGTTTTTTTTTTTTATCCATTTCACACCCATTTACTTCATAGATCAATGTCCTGCTAGCTCCAAAGCTGTCGGACAAACAAACTCACAAACGTGTAAGGTGAATCAATTGAAATAACTATTTTACGACCAGAAACTCTAGAAAAAAATATGTAAAATTACAAAACTTACATTCTACATTGATTTCACACCCATTTAATTTAATTTTCTTTATAGAAACATTCTAATCTACTTCATAGATCAATTCATGAGCGATTTATTCTTATCATACAACAATTTATCTTACTGGAACCTAACGAATGGTGTATCTTTTAATGACCAGCGCACTTACTACAAACAAATACATATAATGAAAGCAAGAAAAGGTTACTTTTTTCTCCGACAGGCAGCAGCCCACACAACGTTTCCCCATTCACAGAGACGTAGTCGTACTGACAATTTTCGTTAACCTCGACATCAAAACTCAGAAAGGTCAGCTCCAATTTGCAGCTATCTCTCTGCCGATGAACGATATAGCGACAGTCCAAATTGTTAGGATATTCTCGTGGATATTCCTCACTTCTGATATCGAATTCCGTCTCTGTATATCTCCTGTGACAAGGGCTTGACGAAGGCGTAGCTGAGGTCGGAAATGAATCTTCTAAACATTCTTCTTGGGTGACTTTTATTTGAAACCCAGGACGAGAGCTAGCCGAGTCAGTCCGAAAACGGATCACTTTTTCAAACGACTGGAAATCATAGTTTTCTACATACATAAATAAATATTTCAATCTAAACAAAAACCGTTGATTATTTCTCTGTTTCATCGTGTAGAAATATTTTATACAACCGTCCATAAAAAGTGGATAGTTAATTTGTGAAAGAATTTATTGGAAGGAAATTTAAAAACTGTTTCTAAAGATGTACTTTTAATAAATCGTTTTTGCTTTCGACATAAGCAAGAAATACAAATATTTGTTACTCTTAATTTTGGTTTTATTTACTCTTTAAACAGAACACTTTCGGGGACCATGCGGAAGTACATCAGTAATATATTGAGCATCATGGTGAGAGATACTGTTACAGATTGATACTCTCAGTGTATTCAGTTTAAAAAGTTAATAAACTTAAATTTAACGAAACCCGTCAATACTACTCCTGGAAACACAATAAGATTCTATAATTCCTTTGATAGAATCATCCTATCTAACGTAGTCCTTGAAATGTAAATAATTACTCAATATCTCAGCCTTTCTAGTGTTTATTGATTTTTCAGAAGATACTTACTAGAGGTTTCTGGTGGTAAGGTTCCACAAAGCTTCTGGCCGTCCACGTCCACGTAGTCATACTCGCAATTTGTACTCGATTCGATATCAAAGTGCAGGAACTGTAGTTTGAGAGTACAGATATTAGCACTGTGACGTCGGACAGTGTAAATGCAATCCAAGTTGTTATCGTAATTTGAGGGATAATTTGCGCTTTTCAGATAGAATTCTTTCCGGGTGTAAACGTTGCTACAAAAACTTCTGTCGGACACGAACGGCATTCCAGTTGTGTATAAATTACATTCTTCCTGTACAACCCGAATGACGTAACCTCGGTCAGTATGGCGATCATCAGAATGAAAGGATAAAACCTTTGCAGTCTCGTTGAACTCAATTATTCCTGGAAGCGAAATAACTTTAACTAAATTAGTAGAAAATATGTTGAAAGAAAACGCTAAGCATAACAAACGCTATATTATAGCGAAAAACTTGCTAAAATTTAAACTAGATAAGATAAAAAGAACTATATAAATTCTTCCACTTACAACATTGTAAATAGTTATAAACCAGCTGAAGTAAACTCATTAATGCTCATAAAATGTATCATGAAAGTAAAAATATCGATTTAATTTTAAACCTAAATCATTTCCGAGTTAAGTTACTTTCTGTTATATCACCAATATTTTTATAATAAAAAACAAATCTCTTTAATCAACGGAGACTAAATTAAGAAAGAAACAAATATTTTTCCAATTTTGTTGTCTATTGCATTTCATTTTATACTTTAAATACATAGACTACCAACAATATTACGTTATACTTTTGTTGCTAAGCAACATGAAATAAACACTATTGTTGGAACGTTGTATAAATAAGAACAATAACGACACGTTTCTTAACCTTATACACGTTGTGAGTCAATGTTTTCTTTTTTAATGTTACAAAAACTTTATTTCTTTACATTTTGTCAATTTTGAGCAATAATGACGGTGAAAGGGATGCTTAGTTTGAATCATTTTAGTAAATTAAATGGACAAAAATATAAATATAACAAAGTGAAAGAATTGTGTAAAATATACAGAAATATACTTAATTTTTACAAGTCATGATAAATATCATACTTTAAGAGGTAAAGGGGCTTAAATGTCGCGATTAAACAACAACAGGATGATTGTAAACAACCTACAAGGAAATGTGTTAATAAATATGGCCATATTACAAAGGGTTAATCGTATTTAGATTAATAACTTGGCCTATTTGGTGAGGCTATAAGAAACCCTTGTATTTATATGGATGACATGGCCAAAATTTAATATGCCAATTTTCTAGACAACAATTAATTTATTTTCCTACATAAATCACAAAAAAAAAAGGCTCGAGTTCAGAAAGAAAAAAAACAGCCTATTTCATCGGCTGACATTTAGTAATTTATTAGATAATTCAGACTTGGAATCAAAAAAATCTCACGGGCTCACGGTAGTACATGTTACTCCCGGTGCGCCACCTCTCCGTTTTGATAAGCTTTTTTTTAATTTTGAACTATTTGGAAGTTAGTATTTTATAATTTATTTGTAGTCTTTCGAGGCTTAGGGTAAACACACAGCATACATAAACTAGACTTAGGTGACAACATTTGTATAGTAAAACGTAGAAGAAGAAAAAATTGAATACTCTGTATGAAAAAAAGTTACAAAGTAGTAAGTTTTCAGCTTCCAATGATAATATCTCACCAAAGGGTATATATTACAATGTGTACTATTTGGTCGTCAAGAAATTAATGTCGCGTTTTGGAACACTTTCCTTAACCACCCCTCAAAAAAACGTACATCACGTATAATAGATAAACGAACCGCCTAAACGTCACATTAGTGTAGCCTATATAATGTGTTAAAACTTAGTATACTCTTATAGTGATGACACACGACGAGACACACATTCGGCATGTAATGCTGTTTGAATACAAGAAGGGAAACAACGCCTCTGTAGCCACAAATAATATCAAAGAAGTTTATGGAAATATTTTGATCGTTCGTAAGTGTCAATGATGGTTCAGCAAATTTCATTCAGGTGACTTTAGCCTTAAAAACTGTGATGGTAGGGGCCGACATGTTGGAATTGATATTGATGCTCTGAAGACCCTTGTTGAGTCTAACCCAAGGCAACACACTTATGAAATGACCCTGAAATTGTATGTTTCTCATGAAACAATACGTAAATATCTAAAGAATATAGGAAAACTCCTTAAAGAAGGTGTTTGGGTGCCTCACGAACTGTCCAATGGTCATCGTTTCCAACGTGTGAACGTTGCTTCGTCTCTTCTGGCGCGGGAACCATTTTTGGACAGAATTGTCACCGGTGATGAAAAATGGATTCTCTATGCGAATATTAAACGCCAAAAACAATGGCTCAGTCCTAGACAAAAACCACTTACGACCCCAAAACCTGGACTCCATCCGCAGAAAGTGATGCTTTGCATTTGGTGGGACATCACAGGGGTAATTCATTTCGAACTCCTCAGTCCACATCGAACTGTCAGTGCAGAGATCTATAGTCAGTAACTGGAACATTTATATCAAGTCCTTCATCAGAAACGCCCTTCACTCGGAAGGGTGTTCTTCTCCACGACAATGTACGTCCACATGTGGTATGTTTGACGCAACACAAGATTATGGAGTTTGGTTGGGAAGTTCTCCCCCACCCATCATATTCTCCAGATATGACACCATCAGATTACCATCTTTTTCGTTCGCTGCAACACTGTCTTTTTTTTTGCTTCAAAGCCAAGTGATTTCTTTACTCAGGGCATTAGAAACCTGAATGTAGACCGGAAAAGCATCATCGATATGAATGGAGACTATTTCATTTAATAAATGTTTTTTCTATATATAAGTTGTTTGGGTTTTTTTCATCTGAAAAAAGAAAGCGACGTTAATTTTTTGACGACCTAATATAAACAAGCCACAAACACCGAAAGAGTTTTGAACAAGTTAAAGTTCGAACCCGCGACCCAAAGATTGATAGTTGAGCGCCTTAACTACCAGACCATGCGAGGCTCCAGTTAGGCAATGTTTATTCGAAATTTGTATTATAAAATTCACACAAATAACTGTACTGAAAGAATCGAAGTAGTATGTATTACTTTTCACAAAAATAATACATTTCCTCTATTTTATATGTGAAAAAAGTTGTATACCACTAACCATGAAAATATTTATAAAGTCAACCTACGTCAACTCATAATCAACTCGCTCATCGTAAACCCTCGATAAGATATCAAGGAAGTTCCAGACTAGAAAGAAGACTTTTTATTGTTTGTAAGTTTGTGAAACTTTT